TCCAAATTAGTTCGAAGTTTAGATACTTCGACTGCTTAATGTACGAGATCAAGCCATAATTGGGCATTTTGGGCAACTTTGGATTAAGGAACGGATCAGGAACTTGAAGTGTAGCGGGAGAAATAGGAACGAGAGCTACAAGATTACCTTATAATGGAATATTGTCAGAACGGACCTGAAATGTATCACGTCACGCCCACAGAAAATTGAAACGAGAGCCTGAATTTAATCGAAACCTAGATTTGAAGATTAGAAGCTTGATTCTACGTCACCCATAGTGATATGAAATGTATCACTAATCAATGTAAAAAGTAAAACATGTAAAAAAGATAGTAATTCTTCCGGACGGTAACGTCGACAAATAAATAATAATAATAATAATAATAATAAGCGCTACTGACTCTCTCACACTTCATAAAAAAAATTCCAACTTAGACACCTATCTGTGTTCTTAACTATACTTTATTATTTCAAGGTACGAAAAAAAGTAGACAAGAAGTTCTCTGTTGTGGCTTGAAGCATTTTACATCATTTACACAAAACACTCTCTCGAACGAAATATCTAAGATATGAGGACAAGAAATATTCGAGTAGTGGGAGAAATAAAAGAGATTTTCGGTAAAAGATTTAAGTCCATATTACAAATGTTCTACGATCCTTCTTTGAAATCATAATTTGTACAATCTCATATGAGCCCCTTGCCTCTTTATTCCATTCTTTTTTATTGTATTTTGTACTGTTTTAGTCGACTGACTCACTCAGACCTTCCTTTATTTAATGTTCATATATCTCACATGTAAGTATACATAATGATATCATACAGGCATATCACATAATTTTCCTTGGGTATTACAAGAATGGGGAGCATGTATGCATTGTGATCCTTTTTTCTTACACTTATGTTTGTGTATTTTAGCTTACTTTATGTGGAATTAAATACAGTTAATGGTGATTTGTCCGATAATAAATTCTCCTTTACATGCTTTTGCGGACTTTTTATGGGTGGATATGAAAAGCTTTTTGTGGATTTTTGACAAGTTTGATGACTTTTAGAACATGATTATAAATATTTAATGAATGGAAGAGCTTCACTTCAATTATTCTAAAACTCAATTAAAAAGTTGAATTTCGTTTTGTTTGAATCTACTTTTTTGATTATTCAGCTCGTTCCGTGGACTTTTTGTATCATTAATTTATTCTTGGAATTTTTATCGACAAATTTTACTTTGTAATATTTTTATTTGAAAGCTCTTTATTCAGGCATGAATTTTTGTCAGAGGTCGAAGCGAGCATAGCGAAGCGAGTTTTTAGCGAGCTCGCTTCGCTAAAAATTCAACTTGCTAAAGTTGACCTGTAGCGAGAATTTTTTTTTCTTTTCGCCTTAGCGAACTATAGCGAACTCAATTTTATTTTTTTCGCTTTAGCGAACTATTAGCGAACTTAATTTTTCAAAGTTCGCTATAGCGAACTATTGGCGAACTAGAAAAATTTTTTTGGCTTCATATTAAGAGATGTCTGATTGCGTTTGTGAAGTATGTAATTTCATACAAAATTGCAAAAAATTATAGTTCGCCAATAGTTCGCTATAGCGAACTTTGAAAAATTAAGTTCGCTAATAGTTCGCTAAAGCGAAAAAAATAAAATTGAGTTCGCTATGGTTCGCTAAGGCGAATAGAAAAAATTTTTTCTCGCTACAGTTCGACTTTGGCAAGTTGAATTTTTAGCGAAGCGAACTTGGCGAACCAAGTTCGCTTCGACCTCTGATTTTTGTTCGAAGTTTTTCGTGAGAAAATAAACAACTTGCTTGGCATTTGAGGATTGATATATTATTGGTTTGCTGAACTGAGTTTTTTAAAATTAAAATAAGGTCGTTCACTGGGTGGCTCAATCGTGTCAAAAAGCTCAACTATTTCAAAAATCTCATCTTTGTCAAAAAAAGCTCATGCGTGTCAAAAAGCTCCATTATGTCAAAAAGCTCAACCATTTCAAAAAGCTCATCTGTCAAAAAGCTCATTCAAGACCAAGTTTTCAATCATGTCAAAAAGCTAGTACATGTCAAAAAACTCAACGATATAAAAAAAGTTAAACCACGACAAAAATTCCGTTCATGTCAAAAAAGCTTGATAATGTCAAAAACCACAAACATCTCAAAAGTTCATACAAGTCAAAAAGCTCATGTATATTCAAAAATTCTCAGACGTATCAAAAAGTTCATTTTCCAGAACATGTCAAAAAGCTCAAATTCTCAATAAAAAGCTATCTGAATATCTTTCAAAAGCTCATTTGTAAAATTTTATTTTTAAAAAACTCATTTCCCAAGAAGAAATACAAAAAGGTCCAAATTAAATTTATCACATCCTCATGTGTTTGTCATTCAAATTTACTTCATAAGAAGCTATGTAATTTAATAAATTATTCATATTTAAATCACATCAATTTGTTGCTGCCTAGGTACGCAAAAAGATTCTATTATTAAGCTACAATATTTTTATTTTCTAAGGCAACAGGCAGAGTTTGATGAACTGAGGATAAGAAGATAGCCTGGCATTTATGAATCTATAATGCCTTATTTCCATACATCATAAATCTAATCTGCATTTGTTGCCATCCACAAGTATTCTGAAATTACAAACCGTAAAAAGAGACTCAACATCTTATTTTCCAATCAAATTACTTTAAAGACCTTCAATTTTCTGCACCATTAGCACTTAAATCCGTAGCTACTTCAATAATTCCTCCTACTTTTTATGACCCACTTCTTTATCATAAAATTGCAATGCCTGATTTATGACTGTGAATCGAATTGATTTTATTCATCCAAAAGCATCGATTCCAACTGCTTGAAATTTGCTTGAAATTGTGTACTTAAATTTATGAACCCTTAAACGAGTCGAAATTTGCGATCATTTTTCAAAACTTTCTGACAATTTTTCAACTTTTTATTTCCTTTCCTCCAATTCAGGCACGAGCTTATTACTTCTTTTTCAAAAGCTACATTCTACCGGTAATGAAGCCTATTTTTCTGACTCTCGATCTCTCGTTATTTCATACCTACATAAGTGGGGTTGTTTATAAATGATGTTGAGTCAGGAGAGCATGGCAGGACTAGCGAAACTGCGTGTAACTTAAGTATGACATTTGGTCATAAAGATAAGGAACTCACGAAAGCTCAGTAGTTGAACCATGTAGCGAATAATTCGTAAACACTTGAGTTCGAATCCCACTTAAGATTCGTTATTTGGAGTTGATAGTTCTTCAAATCAATTGATGTAAGTCATCCTTATAGCTGAGAAGAATTTAATACCCCCCTCTAGCTTTGCCCTTGCCTCTTCTGTTCCCTTTTCCACGTACCTAATTTCCAAACTTACCCACCAATCCAGTTAAGAAGAACGTGTAGCATGTTAAAAATAAAACTTCCACTCCTATTTGCTTTTTTTTTCGAATAAAAAGAAATCATGTCATATTCTATTTTAAAATATGAAATATGTAACACCAAAGACGGTTGAATAAATAAGAAAAATACAGAAAGCTGTAGAAGTTTAGAGACTGACGTGAAGGAAATGTGATGATGAAAATATTATTATGGTAAAATCATAAACACTCATATATTCGAGAAATGTCTTTTGCATGTAATAAGTTTTATATATTTTAAGAATGGATGTGTGAGGAAAATGAGATGAAAAGTCGTTGGATGGAATATATGCGAGCTTTTTTTTTTGTAGATGGGATTTAAGCTGGAATTTTTTATGACATGAAATGTATGAAATATTAGAGAAATTTAAAGAATTATATCATATTTGTCCTTGATGTCACATGCTACAAGTTTCTGTGATATAGCAAAAAGATGTCCAGTTTAAGGTTATGAATGGTTAGCTGGTATCTGCTTGTGGATTTGGAGTGGCTTGATGGTGTAATGGTTTGACACTTTGGTTGTCGTCCTAATTCAGTGATCGTGAGTTCGAGACTCTCTGCATAGAAAATTTTAATTCAATGCCATCAAATTCAAGGTTCGAATCCCATTATTACCAGTGGTTTCAAAGCACTGGACAGTCCTAGTCCTAGTCGGCATATATAACTTATTGTCATTTAGTCTATTTTAATGAAAACTTTAAAAAGCTTTAAAATTTCCACATTCTTCTTGCCAATCCTCAAAAGCACAGCCTTCAAGCCATCTCCTTCTTCCTATGTGAACTGTTTGACAATTTGACAGAAGATTACAATTTCTTATTTTAAAAACCGTACCTGAGTAACAAGAAGTTGATATGATTTATTACTTAGTATGTAGTCAGTACAAATATAAGTCTAAGTAAAGAGGATGCTTCACTTTTGACTTGAACACTCCCTTTACATGCATGCCTCAGTGACATTGAGATTTTCTCGTACCTTTGCTGAAATAAATGGAGAGAAATAAGAGAAAGTTTAATATTAAGTGGGGTCGGAATGTCACTAAAGGGAATAACTCTTATGCTTGTTGATTGTTAAGCCATAGATTGTTTTTGTCTGATTTGGGGTAGATTATTTGTTATGTAACGCAACTTAAGGACCTTCAAAGAACCTAAATAAATTTTCGGATCCTTGTTGGAGCACAGCTGTAGCCCTCTTTAGTGGCTACACTACTGTGTTCTTTAATTTGAAAGACACTGCTATAGTACTTATTTACTAGTCACCAAAACAAATAAGGTGCCGTTCACTTATGACGTCCGAAATTAACGTTCATTTTTCAAAAAGAACAATGAATTTCCAGGAATTTCTATTGTTCTTTTCTTGCTGACCTTTCCTCCTCTGGACGTCATAAGTGAATGGCCCCTAATAGATATGCAAATAATTATTTTTTATTAGACGTGATAAGAAGTGTCGAAAGCCAATACATAAAATGTCTAATAAACTATCATTTATGTGTTTACTTCATAGTTGTACCAATAAAAATTTTTCTTATCTTTATGTCTAATATTTTGTTATCATTGACAGCAGAAATTCGAAAATTCAGATAAGAATGATTTAGTATTGAGAAAGAATTAATTGAAGTCACACGTGAATTTTGGATATATTTAAAAATGGAGAGACGAAAAAAATTCAGAAAAAGGCAAACTATTTTGTTGTTTCTGTTCATTCTGATTCTCGCCTTGACCATCTCGTTCTTCATCTTATCCCATTTTGTATTTAATTGCGAACTTAAAATTGTATTTGCTGAGAATTTTAATGAAATTGATCCAGAATTTCTGACAAATGGAACAATTTACTTTATGGAAACTCACAATTGCATTGATCATCAAATAACAGCACGAGAAGCATGTGCTATAGAATCAGCAGGTAATTTCATTTCAAATCCACAGTCGTTTCATCAAATTAATAAGCGAGTGCAGCTTTGCATATTTTTAAGTGAGTCATAAAAATAATCGCAAATGTGAAGAAAATAAACTCGACATTAAGTTGTGTTGGAACTGAATTTTTAAGTAAATATTAATCGTCATTTAAGTTTTCAATGTGAAAGTGATTCTACAGCTTATGTATAATATGAGAATGACTATTTTAAAATGATTTTGTTCTTTGATATTCATGGGATTCAGGACTGTCAATGGCATAGATGCATGTGGTCTTAATCTTCACTGACATTGTTTAATTTTAACTCACTGGGTTTGATTCTCATCATCAGCTTGGAGATTAAATAGATCAGTGTTGTCCTAGCTACCACTTAAGTGTGCTACAACACAAAAAAGTCTGTCCAACATTGCTGATTATCTCGTTTGAGATTTTGGGTCAGAACCCCCTTACCCAGCTTCCCCATCAACATATAAAATTCTTGAATTTGCAAATTTCCCCATCCTTACTCATAGCTGCTTCAAAACTTGATTAATTTTCATATAAATTGCAAAATTTTCAGCCTTTATGAATCCAGACGAGAAGATTGTAGTTCTATTCCTTACACCAGATGATCACATTCGACTGAAAAGCTGGGATGACTTCAAACCAATCCTCAGCTACAAAAATGTTCACTTAAAATACATCACAATGAGGGAATTCACAAAAGACACAAAAATTGAAAAGTGGTTGGAAACAGAAGCACTAAAGTCATCAAAATATATTGTCAGTCACACTTCAGATATTCTCAGATATGTTTTATTATACAAATACTCAGGAGTCTACCTCGATCTTGATGTCATTACTGTTGATAGTTTAAAGAATCTAGATCTACCCAACTATGCTTGCTATCATGTAGATGGTGGGGTGATAAATAGTGGAATTATGAAGTTGAGTGGAAAGGAAGGCAAGAAGTTTGCGGATATGATGATAAAGTAGGTGTTAAAGGTTCTAATTCCTTCAATGTTCTTACATTTAATCATTTATTTTAGTGAAATCGTCGACAACTACGACGGTTCCGAGTACAACAACCTTGGGCCAGCTGTGATAACAAAAACTGTGAAAAAGTATTGCGATGTTCAAAATTTAACAGACTTTTATGGCTGCAAGGACTTTAAAGTGCTTCATCAAAGTTCATGTTACGCTGTTGGTTGGCATGAATGGTTCAAACTTTTTAAAGAACAATATGCTGATGAAGCCATGCAAAAAATCAAAAAATCTTTTTTTGTTCATTTATGGAACTCGACAAATAAAGGACGGACGATATCCAAATTTAATGATGCAGCTTTAAATAGAATAGCTGCGAAGTTTTGTCCAAAAGTTTTTGAATCTGAAGTCATAAAACTTTAATGATTCACAAATTTAATTACTGTGATATTTTTGGAGTATTGAGCAGATATACCGTTAATGAGTTCCTTGGTATGGAGAAGATTTGGTACCGAAAAATCGTTCCGTACCTGCCAATACCTAATCATTTTATTAACTTTCAAAATCTTAACACATAATATGACAAATCTATACCAAAGTTTAAAGGAGGAACCGCCAATACCTCCACAAATAAATGAAATATTCAATTTACTCAAACAAAAGTGTTGTTTCATTCAAACTTCAAGACAACACGAGATTCTTTCATCAATTCACACCTTTTTCGTGCTCAAGAATTTTCTCGCTTTCATTTTCAGCTTCCAGCGCCTCCCTTTTGTGTTCAGCTTCATTGTCAGTTTGTTTGAATAAAAGCTTTCTTTTTTTTAATTCTTTAATAATTTTTGTATGGTAAGAATAATAAAAATGAAATGAATGCCAAAGCAGCATGAATTCTGATGAGCATGAAAGGAAAATAAATGAAAGGGGTAGATCTAGTCTTCAACTCAACTGTCTAGATAGAAAAAAATGAGCAAACAATAACTTAATTCTTCTTTCTAGTCCCACGGCGTCTGTTGTTCCTCTACAAATTGAATTTTGATGTCTATGTCCACATGAAAAAACCTTTTTTTGGTTTTTTACTTCCTCTTATTCTACCCACACAAAATACATCCTTTTATGTACAATTGCATGTAATTTATTCCTTTATGAACTGGATTGTAAAGTACTGGGAGTTAAAAAAAAATGTGAATGAAAGAGAGATAAATGTTAAATAATTCAAGGAAGTTTAGGATTATTGCTGTTGAGTTGTGAATGCAATAAAAGAGTTTGCGGGATGCTTTAAATTCTATTTTCAGGTTGTTGAACTTCTTTAAAATTGCTATAAAAGTTGGGCGACAAAAGTCTTAACTTGAGAGTCACTTAAATGCTTCATGGAATTCGGAAGACATACCGTCTATGCGGACATTAAGCTGTTAAAAAAGGTTGAATATTCATAGTGATAGATCAGGAGCTGGTTTTAGTCAAGTGCCTTGCTGGTCGAATAGGTAAGGCGCTTGGCTCAAATTCGGGATGGTAATTCGAAGGTCGTCGGTTCGAATCCAGCCATTTCCAAAATTTGTTCTTTTTCGGAACTTCAGATACTTCGACTGCTTAATGGACGAGATCAAGCCATAATTGGGCATTTAAGTAACGTTGGATTAAGGAACGGGTCAGGAACTTGAAGTGTAGCGGGAGAAATAGGAACGAGAGCTACAAGATTACCCACGAATGGAATATTGTTAGAACGGACCTGAAAAGTATCACGACACGCCTACAGAAAATCGACACGAGAGTTTACTTGAAACCTAGATTTGAAGATTAGAAGTTTGATCCTACATAATATTAATTCATATGTATACAAATACAAAAAGTGTAAAATGTGAATTATTGCCGGACAGTATGTCGTCAATAAAATGCAATAAAGTGCAATTAAAATGAAAAAAGAGCTTTCTTGGTGACCCTAATCTGTACTAGACTCTGGAGAATAAATAAACATTGAATGAGGCTAAGGTGGATTATCCCTCGCATAGCTGTTTTCTGATTAGAAGCGAATATCTGCTTTAAAGTAGAAGATTTAAGCTTCATAGATAGTGCTCCAAATTTTAAGTGTGTCATGGATTGAACAGTTTAACAACCACTGTTTTAAGCTTCAAAAAATATCAAATTCCATTTGAATTTCCCAAATTCACAAAACTGTAGGCATCAATTCCACTCAAAAATGTTATTTATAAAGCATCATTAAACAAACGCAACTGATTCACAACAAACGTAGGACTTGTCAGCAAATCCCACAACAGCAAAACGCACTAACTGAACTTTACGATACAAAAAAAAATCCACAAAGAGATCCACAGACATAACAGAATTTTTCAAAAGAACTAAAAGTGCACAGCACAACAAAAAGCATGACATGTGCGAGAACACTGAAGTAAATTTCCTGGAATGAGAAAGCTTGTAAATAACAAACTAGTCGTAACATGTGCAGCAACATTCTCGAACATAAATGACTCAATGAATGAATGGAAAAATTTGTAACGAAGTAATTTGCTTGCATGCATGAATAAAATTCAATTTGTCGACAACTAACGTCCTATAAAGTGGAATGTTTATAAACTGTGGGAGAGAAAAAAAAATATTGTGAAGCTGATGAAAGGCAAGTGTGCGTTATTATTAACAGCCGCAGGGGATCAGCATGCATTAAAAGTGAAAAGGGAAGCATAACAGCGGTGGATGAGCTTTTTTTAGGTTTTTTTTTTTCTTCTCTCTTTTATGCCTTAAAAGCCGTCAACATATTAATTCAAAAGAAGCGCAAGACGAAACACGTTTAGTGAAAATATTTGAATGGAAAAAAGGAGGGTAAGAAGAGATTACTTTATCATCATCAGCTTCACAAAGAGAAATTTTAAACAGGAAGTAAATTTTACAATTTATTGCGTGAAAAGTGGATCAACGCGCTTTTTTAGGGATGCTAAAGTTAATTAATTTATGAAGTAAGGTTAATATAAAAATAATTTATGGATTTAGGTTAATTTGGAAATAATTTATGGAATTAGAATGAGCTTTATTATTTATTTATGAACAATGTTATAGAATTTAAGGAAATTTTAAAGTAAAATTCACTTTCATGACTTAAAATCATTTAACGGAAATTTAAGTTTTGAACTTTAAAAAATTTTGAAAAGTTCTCTCTAAAATACGAAGTGGAAGCTTTTGCGTGGAAGTTGCATTTTAAAACATATCTAAGTATTATAAATGATAAAGAATGCTAATTTAGATATAAAATCGATATTTTTTTTTGAAAATAGCCTACTATGATCGAAACCAAAAATGCTTAAAATTGCATTTTAAAACATATCTAGGTATTATAAATGATAAAGAATGCTAATATAGATATAAAATCGATATTTTTTTGAAAATAGCCTACTATGATCGAAACCAAAAATGCTTTAAATTGCATTTTAGAACATATCTAGGTATTATAAATGATAAAGAATGCTAATTTAGATATAAAATCGATATTTTTTTTTGAAAATAGCCTACTATGATCGAAACCAAAAATGCTTAAAATTGCATTTTAAAACATATCTAGGTATTATAAATGATAAAGAATGCTAATATAGATATAAAATCGATATTTTTTTGAAAATAGCCTACTATGATCGAAACCAAAAATGCTTTAAATTGCATTTTAAAACATGTCTAGGTACTAAAAATGATAAAGAATGCTAATATAGATATAAAATCGATATTTTTTTGAAAATAGCCTACTAGGATCGAAACCAAAAATGCTTTAAATTGCATTTTAAAACATATCTAGGTATTATAAATGATAAAAATGCTAATATAGATATAAAATCGATATTTTTTTTGAAAATAGCCTACTATGATCGAAACCAAAAATGCTTAAAATTGCATTTTAAAACATATCTAGGTATTATAAATGATAAAGAATGCTAATATAGATATAAAATCGATATTTTTTTGAAAATAGCCTACTATGATCGAAACCAAAAATGCTTTAAATTGCATTTTAAAACATGTCTAGGTACTAAAAATGATAAAGAATGCTAATATAGATATAAAATCGATATTTTTTTGAAAATAGCCTACTAGGATCGAAACCAAAAATGCTTTAAATTGCATTTTAAAACATATCTAGGTATTATAAATGATAAAAATGCTAATATAGATATAAAATCGATATTTTTTTTGAAAATAGCCTACTATGATCGAAACCAAAAATGCTTTAAATTGCATTTTAAAACATATCTAGGTACTAAAAATGATAAAGAATGCTAATATAGATATAAAATCGATATTTTTTTGAAAATAGCCTACTAGGATCGAAACCAAAAATGCTTTAAATTGCATTTTAAAACATATCTAGGTATTATAAATGATAAAAATGCTAATATAGATATAAAATCGATATTTTTTTTGAAAATAGCCTACTATGATCGAAACCAAAAATGTTTTAAATTGCATTTTAAAACATATCTAGGTATTATAAATGATAAAAATGCTAATATAGATATAAAATCGATATTTTTTTGAAAATAGCCTACTATGATCGAAACCAAAAATGCTTTAAATTGCATTTTAAAACATATCTAGGTATTATAAATGATAAAAATGCTAATATAGATATAAAATCGATATTTTTTTTGAAAATAGCCTACTATGATCGAAACCAAAAATGCTTTAAATTGCATTTTAAAACATATCTAGGTATTATAAATGATAAAGAATGCTAATATAGATATAAAATCGATATTTTTTTGAAAATAGCCTACTATGATCGAAACCAAAAATGCTTTAAATTGCATTTTAAAACATATCTAGGTATTATAAATGATAAAGAATGCTAATATAGATATAAAATCGATATTTTTTTGAAAATAGCCTACTATGATCGAAACCAAAAATGCTTTAAATTGCATTTTAAAACATATCTAGGTACTAAAAATGATAAAGAATGCTAATATAGATATAAAATCGATATTTTTTTTGAAAATAGCCTACTATGATCGAAACCAAAAATGCTTTAATTGCATTTTAAAACATATCTAGGTATTATAAATGATAAAAATGCTAATATAGATATAAAATCGATATTTTTTTTGAAAATAGCCTACTATGATCGAATCCAAAAATGCTTTAAATTGCATTTTAAAACATATCTAGGTACTATAAATGATAAAGAATGCTAATATAGATATAAAATCGATATTTTTTTTTGAAAATAGCCTACTATGATCGAAACCAAAAATGCTTTAAATTGCATTTTAAAACATATCTAGGTATTATAAATGATAAAAATGCTAATATAGATATAAAATCGATATTTTTTTTGAAAATAGCCTACTATGATCGAATCCAAAAATGCTTTAAATTGCATTTTAAAACATATCTAGGTACTATAAATGATAAAGAATGCTAATATAGATATAAAATCGATATTTTTTTTTGAAAATAGCCTACTATGATCGAAACCAAAAATGCTTTAAATTGCATTTTAAAACATATCTAGGTATTATAAATGATAAAGAATGCTAATATAGATATAAAATCGATATTTTTTTGAAAATAGCCTACTATGATCGAAACCAAAAATGCTTTAAATTGCATTTTAAAACATATCTAGGTATTATAAATGATAAAAATGCTAATATAGATATAAAATC